GGGAAGGGGAGAGAAGGAATGGGAGAAGGGGGAGCGAGACTTGGCGGGTGGGACGTAGCGGGAGGAGGGATGGAAGAGAGTACCTACTGGAGGGACAGGGGAAGTCCTGCGACTCACTGCAGCCCAGCTCGGGACCGCGGGTGCGGAGGTCAGTAGGCTCTGTCGGCTGCTCGCTGCCCCCGGCGGGAGGAGGAAGCAGCGGCTGCGCCGCGTGGCAGCGGGGAGGGGCTGCGCCTGGGCAGAACCCGGAAAACTGGGTGGTGGCCTCAGGACCATGTGCCTCCTGTCAAGTCGGAATGAGGATTAGTTGAGCTTTGGCGCTAAAATGTATGTGTGTGGATTGGGCCTGCGACTCCTGCCTATGGTGACTTAGAGCAGACACTGACCAGTCTTCCTGGAGATATGTCCTTTCCTTTACTAGCCAACCCCGTCAGTCTGTAGCTGCCCATATGCCTGGCTGCATCTGGGTCTGTCTTGTCCCCGTCCCTCAACAGTTCCCTGGTCTGACTCAGACTCATTTTCTGGGTATCTGCCCAGTCAGCGAATGGATTCCACCTGCTCCTGCTGTCCAGCTGCCCAGGCCTAAAGCCTTGCTTATTCTGTCTCTGCACCACCTACAGCCCCTTTGCCGCCCACAGCCACCAGCCACCTGCAGCTCTTCCTCACCCACAGCCCACTGACATCCATGGTCCACTGTCAATTCCAGGCCTCCCCCTGTATCCACTATAGATATACCTCTGCTGTCTCAGGAGCCTGACCACAACAGCAGCCAGCAAACAGGGTTAGGTCTAACCCTAACAGTCTGCCCAGAGACTTGCAGCAGGCCACCTCACCCCACCCTAAACACTCTGCCTGTCTAGGCTTCCCCTCCATTTTATACCCAGCCCCTACTGTGCAGGCACCACGTGGCTCCCTTTGCTTCTGTACTTCACAAGCTGCTTCCTAAACTGGCTCAGCAAACTTTCCTAAGTTTGTCCATTTTGTTGAGAGCCATTTCAGCAGCACCTTTGCTCCCCACCAAAAGGAAAAGGGAGGCAACCTTGGGTCTTGGGAAATTGTCCTAGCCATGAACCATGGAATGTGCTAATTCCAGACATTCTACATCTGGCCAACTGCTTGTTTTTGCTTCTGTAATCTGCTTGCTATTTTGGGTCACCTTGACATTGATAGGTAGGAATGTTGGAGAGAGCGAGTGGGTGGATGAGGGCACCGAGGCACAGATGGAATTCTCAGCGGGATACAGATTTATTTTGCACGGGGCACCTTTCCTCAGGGAAGGGAAAGATGTCAGGGAAGGAAAGGATGTCAGGGAGGGCAGGGAAAGATGTCAGGGAAAGATGTCCGGGAAGGGAAAGGAAGGGAAGGGAAAGCAGGGAAGGGAAGGGAAAGATGTCAGGGAAAGATGTCAGGGAAGGGAAGGGTGTCAGGGAAAGATGTCCGCCCACGGG